GGAAGTGATCTCACCAGTCGGAGGAAGTAGGGTCGGGGCGTGCCTGTAGGAATAGTAGTGGCTCGACGGCAGGGCGGCTCGGCGGCTCGGCTGCTGGATGAATCGGCGGCTCGGCGGCTCAGCTGCTGGGCGGCTCGGCTGTCAGGCGGCTCGGCTGTCGGGCGGCTCAGCTGCTCGGCGACTCGGCTGCTGGGCGGCTCGGCTGTCGGGCGGCTCGGCTGTCGGGCGGCTCGGATGTCGGGCGGCTCGGCTGTCGAGCGGCAAGGCTGTCGGGCGGCTCGGCTGCTGGGCGCCTCGGCGGCTCTGCTGTTGGGCTGCTCGGTAGAGGCGGCGTTGGGGTCGCTAGGGGCGGCGACGGGGCCGCGTAGGGAGGGAAGCGGCGACGGGGTCGCTAGGGGCGGCTTCGGGGCCGTCTAGTGGCGGCAACGGGGCCGCGTAGGTAGGGGAGCAGCGACGGGGCCGCTATGAGCGGCGACGGTGCCGCTAGGGGCGGCGACGGGGCCGCTAGGGGCGGCGACGGGGCCGCGTAGGGGCGGCGACGGGGCCGCGTAGGGTGAGAGGCGGCGACGGGGACGCTAGGGGCGGCGACGGGGCCGCTAGGGGCGGCGATGGGGCCGCGTAGGGGCGGCTACGGGGCCGCAGAGGGTGAGAGGCGGCGACGGGGCCGCTAGGGGTGGCGAAAGGGCCGCGTAGGGGCGGCGACGGGGCCGCGTATGGGCGGCGACGGGGCCGCATAGGGAAAGAGGCGGCTACGGGGCCGCTAGGGGCGGCGACAGGGCCACTAGGGGCGGCGACGGGGCCGCTAGGGGCGGCGACAGGGCTGCTAGGGGCGGTGACGGGGCCGCTAGGGGCGGCGATGGGGCCGCGTAGGGGCGGCGACGGGGCCGCGTAGGGTGAGAGGCGGCGACGGGGGCCGCTAGGGGCGGCGAAAGGGCCGCGTAGGGGCGGTGACGGGGCCGCGTAGGGGCGGCGACGGGGCCGCGTAGGGGCAGCGACGAGGTCGCTAGGGGCCACTAAGGGCCTGGGAGGGCGGCGAAAAAGACGCGCCTCGGGCAGGAGCAACTGACGCTCCGGTCAGAAAGAAAATTTTAGTGGTGGGCCCAAGGAAGTGTTCCCACGAGGGAACCAGCTCTATACCATGTGAAGAAACAAGAATGAATGAACTAGCACAAGGTTGGGTAGAAGTAGGAAACCCTAAGAAACTGTACCCCATAGTGTCTACCCCACTATAGCCTAGACAAGCTATATAATATGAGTTTGACATCATGTACCTGATGACCTGCGCTCGACCTGACCTTGCATACCCTCTTAGCATCGTGGCACGCTATGTTGCTCCTAGGAGACACCGACCAGAGCACATGGCTGCAGCGAAGAGGTTGTTGCACTACTTGTGCAGTACGTCGGGCATGGGGCTCGTGCTTGGAAGACGGGCTCGAGCTGTCCTCACTGGTCACGCAGACGCTTCTTGGGTTGACGGCTTGGCTACATAGTGATCGTCATAGGGTTACACCTTCAGCCTTGGTTCCGGCTCTGTTTTGTGGCGGTCAACCCGCTCGTCTTCTGTTCTCAGCTCCAGTTGTGAGGCTGGGATCTACGCAGGGGCCATGGCTGCACAGGAGTTACGCTGGCTCACCTACCTGCTGACTGATTTGGGAGAGGCGCCTCGTTCTCCTCTAGTTCTGTACGTCGACAACAAGGCCATGATTGCCTTGTGTGAGGAGCAAAGACTGGAGCACAGAATGAAGCACATCGCTCTTCGCTACTTCCTTGCTCGAGAGTTGCAGCAGCGTGGTCAGCTTCGTCTTGCTTACGTGGCCACTCGGGCCAACAATGCTGATATCTTTACCAAGGCACTTCAGCCTTGTGATCATCAGCGTTTCTGTACTCTGTTAGGTCTAGTGCCTACTTGGCCTCACTTGCTCATCTCTTGACTTTGCTTGTACTGTGATCTATATATTCCTTCGCCTGCATGCTTACACTTGTTAGGTTGAGATCGATGTAATGCTTGTTCATCTTGATATATAACTCTGCATGTGAACTGGCCTTGTGGCCTTTGCTTGTGCTCAGACTGCGTGGTGACATCGTGATCCACCCTGAGCTTGACCTTGTCTTGTTCTCTTGCTTGTCCCCCACTTTGCCTATGGGGATGTGTCAGAACTATACTCTAGGCTGTAGTGGGGCACTCCTTTTGGGCTACAGCTCTGTTAGGTTTTGCCTATACAAACCTTGTACTGTTCTCATTATAGCCATTTTTTCTTCGCTCTAAATTTAACATCGGCGTCGTCCACTGTTGGCAGTTAGCTGCACTTCGCGCGCACCCAACAGCGAAGTTGGCTTCGCCCAAGCGATGGCGGGGCCACATTTCCGTCTACAATCTCCCCTCAACCTGGTAGCTATGGTGCTCCTTCGTCCTTGACTTCGCCTCACCACCCCGGGTTTCCCCTACTAACCTTCCTACTCCCCCCCATCCTGTCCTAATTCCATTGCCACAGCACCTTGCTCTATCCCAATTGGTCCTCCAACCCTAAAGGCATTCCTCCTTATCTCCCCCCCAATCTGCAGCCCTATCTCCCCTCCGTTTCCCTTGCTCCTGCTGCCATTTCATGTGTCTCTTGTACAACAAGGCACCTACGTGCCTTGTCCCCTTCCCCTTCTGCTCCAATTACGCTGTCAGTGCCTCCATGTCCATCTTCCTGTTCCCCCCCCACCCGTTGTGGCCCCACTCTCCATCCTCTTTGCCATGAGCCCCCCCCCCCCCCCCCCCCCCCCTCTGGTCACAATCAGGGACATCGAGCGCATGCATGCCAGGAGGGCAGTAAAAATTCATGGAAAAAATCAATGTAATTTTGTGTTGCAAAGTGCATATGATAATCACAGGAAAACTGGTTCTGGGATCTTCTACATGCACTGTAGAATCACTTGGAGTATCACTTGGGTTAAAATTTCCGCCTCGCTACTGTCATGAGACCCTCGACCTGTAACTGAAAAAAACGGATGGAAACGGCAAACTGGGATTGTGTCGGTGGAGGCCCTTCCTCGCACACGCAGTCCGCATGGAGGAGGTTATCAGTCGGTTTGTTCGTTTCCGTTCCGTCAGATCTCTGTCACCTCACGACCGCGACAGGGGGACACGCTCAACATGTGGTGAGCAAATCGTGCTTCATATACGATGCGTTTGTTCGTCCACCAATAAGAGAAAAGCTGCAGCCTTTTTCCTCCGTCAACAACACACTATTCTGCGACAAAAGGCACCCATGGCGAACGTCGTTGTCCAATAAACACGGTCATAAAAGGGAAGGAATTACTGTAGAGGAATCAGGAAGGAACCTCGGTCGCAATGGCAGGAAGCTTGCCGCGTTCTGCCCGTCCAGGGTCTAAACTTCCGCCCTTCCCGCCATTCCGCCGCCCCGGATCCCCTCCACTGAGCAGAGCCCTTCCTCCCTCGCATTCGTCCCAAACCCCATTTCCCCCTTCCCGTTGAGCGATCCCCCCCGCTTTCCGACTCCCCCCAGTTCCCTCCCCGACTGCTGCTTGTTTCCATTTTCTCCCCATTGATCAGGTATATTCTTTAATCCTCCACCGAATTTCTCCCACTCCTTTCCTGCGCATTGTTTTCCCACCGAACTCACAGTCGCTTTTCCGTTTCCGGAAGTGTTCGGTACCCATCCGTTGTCCAGTGCCCAATTTATGGGGTCCAGTTTCCCTTTTTCGTGTCCAGGTTGCATTCTCCATGATTTCATTGGTCTGCTCTGCTGCTGATGGTGCAAGTGTATGGTTGTGCATTGTGCTAGCACTAGGGAGAAAGCAGGGAGCAGGTAGAAGGATTAAATCGCATTCCTACGCACGGACACCATCCTAAGTACTGCCACGCGGTCCGCAATGTCGAAAATCACATTAAATGTTCGGCCACGCGGTCCGTGATCTGGACACGTTCATCTCAACCGGCCAGTGGATGTGCGACCAGTTTGCACGTCAATGTCTTGCTGTGCGATCTTTCCATTATCCAATGCTCTCGAGACAGCTCAGCTGTCAAGAGTGTAATGTGTTCACTTTCGATGATTTCGCTGCCCCGGTGTGGCCATCAATATTGGTGCAGTGATTGTAATTTCAATACAGAATGTATTCACGCAAACACTATCGAACATTACGGGATCATTGTTTTTGCAAGTGCCCGAAAGTTAGAGCTGGCCGTTTCATTTTGGCGCCCCAAGGACTGTCGCTGCTGGACTACAGCCTATCATGGGACACCCTGATTGGTCGCGAACAAAATTGACGCGTGCGACAGTCAACCCCTGACAGACCCTGCCAACTGTCCAGAGTGGGGCCCTGCCCCACACGGGCACCATCCTCACACCGAAACTATTCAGGTGGGCTAACTTCGGATGGCGTCCGGGCCCAGGAATCCGCCCTAAAGCGTTGTCGATTGTCCACTCCACTGCACAGCAGCACTGCTTTATCCAGTCGTGCGCTTTGACGGACAATCTGGGTTTTGTTGCTGCGTTGCTGCAATACAGTTCCGCCACGAGCGCGAAGTTCTCTGGTTGGTGACACAGAAGGAAAAAAAGGAAAGTGCAGAAGGGCAGACGGAGCAACTAGAACAAGAAACCGCATCCTTTTCCACGTGTACTGTTGCGCGTGCACACTCGCATCTTACTGCCTGGCGTTCGAGCGACTGCAGTACTATTGTTCCTCTATCGAGTAACCTACGTGGAGTAATGTCAGCCTGTTAACTGTCATCCAAGAAAGTGATTTCTGTCGTTCCTCGTCGAGCGAAAGGTAGAAAGGTCATGGCTGAACTTCCAGAATCGTTTTCGACCGATCTAAAGATGGTCGATCAACCAGGCTCCGTGGGTGATGCGGTATACAGGCGTGCGGGTACGTCAGCAGAAGTGGAGGACACGGGACGGACGATGAGCGTAGACGGAAAAGTTGACGGAAACGATTGGTCGAATCCGTTAGGGTTTGAGAGTGCGCTGTCTAGAGAGGATACATCTATGGCTATGGCTGACGAAACAGGAAGGATTCCCTCAAGCGGAGCCGAATCTCTACAGAATCAAGTCCAGCAACGGCAGCAACAACAGGTGGAGCAGCAGCGCGATCAGCTGGCGTCAGGTGCTGCGATGATGGCTGACGTGGCAGCTGGTGACGATGGCGACGGGAGCGACGGCGAGGGCTCAGGAGGCGAGGATGCGCACGCGGGAGTGATGTTTCCGCGAGCCAACACCAACGCCAAGGGACAATGGACGCCGGTACGCCTTATTGGGTATTTCGTGAGGATCGTTTTGTTTTGGCAAGCAAACACCAACCCCCAGGGTCCATGGATTCCGGTACGCTTTCTTGGGTTTTCGGTTTCAGATGATCTAGAACTAACCAGACATTAATGGGGAGCGATGCTTCAGCAAGCGAACACCGACGTCAATGGATTCACTGGAATCCAGTAAGCATTTTTTAGGTTTCGGCTTGATATGTTCTTTGCGGGTGGGAATGATGTTGTCGCGTTTCGCGAGCGAAAACGAACGTCAACAGATTCACTGGACCGCTGTACGGATTCTTAGGTTTCAGATTTGAGATGGGCTTTAAGCGAGGAATCCCTAAGGTGGGCGATGTGTCTGCGAGCTTACGCCAAGGTCAAGGGGTCCCGGATCCGGTTCGGTGGCTTTGTTTTTTAGGCGCCTCAAAATAATGTCAGTTAGGACGGACGGGATTCTTAGGCTCTGCGTTTATTAACCTCTGCGTTTTTTGCTGGAGGGGGATATTCTTTTGTTAGGTGAGTTCGTTTGAAGGGTCATCGAAACTATGGGTCACTTCACGGTACGAGCTGCTGTGGAAACTGGTGGAGTGGAACGAGTCCTTATTTTGCTCGTTCACATCGCAGCTGTAGCTGCTGCTGAAGAGGTTCTTGACTTTCTCCCAACCCCCCGACCCGACCCTATTATTCCCTTCACCTCTTCAGGAGGAGGACGAGCTGCTGCGGAAACTGGTGGAGAAGGACGGAGCCCAGCGGTGGTCCGCCATTGCGGCGCACCTCAAGGGGCGCGCGGGGAAGCAGTGCCGCGAGCGGTGGCACAACCACCTGAAGCACGGCATCAAGAAGGTGAGGCGGAGAGAAAGCGAATCTTAGGTCAATATAAGGTGGTTGAGAGTAACGGAAATGGTTCATACTCGCGGGGAGGCAATGCCGGGAGCGGTGGCACGACCACCTGAAGCATGGTATCAAGAATGTGAGATGGAGAGAAAGCGAAGCTTAGGTCAATACAAGGTGGTTGAGAGTATCGATAATGTTCATACCGGCATCAAGAAGGTGAAATGGAGCGAATCAAGATACTGAGACATAGAGAGGTGCATTTTTAGGTCAAAACACGGTGGTTGTGCGTATTGAAATATCTCTTTCTTGTGGGGAGGCAGTGCTGCGCACGGTGGCACAACCACATCAAGCACGGCATCAAGAAGGCGAGACGGAGATCAAGAAATCTGAACTTGTTGAGGCTCATATAAGAAGAAGTTGGTTGCTGAGTTCGAGAATTCCAACACCCACCTCTCTTTCTCGCACCCCTTCTCCTCATTCCTTCCCCCCTTCCCCCCTTCCTCCCTCCCCTCCTTCCATCCCTTCCCCTCCCCGTCCCCGCTGCCTGATTTCTCGCCTCTGACAGGACGCGTGGACGGAGGAGGTGAAGCTGGTGGAGGCACACAGGAAGCTGGGAAACCGTATTTGAGCCACTGTACCCACCACCCCCTTCCGCTTCCCTCACTCCCCTTTCCCCCCCACCAACCTCCCTCCCCCTGTGTTTGTCCTCCACGGTTTTCTTCCCACAGGACGCGTGGACGGAGGAGGAGGAGGCGAAGCTGGTGGAGGCGCACAGGAAGCTGGGGAACCGGTGGGCGGAAATTGCCAAGCTGCTGCCGGGGCGGACGGACAACAGCGTGAAGAACCACTGGAACTCCACCATCCGCCGCAAGGTGAGTTGACAGAGGTGATTGGAGGGAGTGGTTGGAAACGGGAAAGATGGACGGGGGTAGAGGTAAAGAGGGCAAGCAAGGGGGCACAGACAACAGCGTGAAGAACCACTGGAACTCCACCATCCGCCGCAAGGTAAGGTTGTTGGGGGAATTGGGGGGTGGTGGACAGCGGTTGGAAGAGGTAAGGAGGGGTGGGGGAGAGGTATGAGCGTAAGCAAGGGTGGACAGACAAGAGCGTGAAGAACCACTGAAGCCCCACCATCCGCCGCAAGGTAAGCTGGTTGGGGGGCGATTGAGAGAGTGATGGGCAGAGGTTGGTAAGGGAAGGGGAGGGGAGGCGAAGGGGGTAACGAAGGCAAGCAAAGGCGGACAGACAACAGCATGAAGAACGACTGGAACTCCACCATCTGCCGCAACAATGGGTTGGCAGGGGCACTGGGAGGAGTGGTTTACAGGAAGGTGGGACGATGGGGAGAGAGAACAAGAGGTGTTGAGGCGCACAGACAACAGCGTGAAGAACCACTGGAGCTCCACCATCCGCTGCAAGGTGCGTACAGAGGGGGATTGAGGGGACTGGTGGAGAGTGGTTAGTAAAGGGAAGGAAAGGGGGAAGAGAGAGGTTAAAAGAGGGCATTCAAGGGCGGAGAGACAACAGCGTGAAGATGTGAAGTGGTAGTGGGGTTGCGCGGTAGTGTGGGGGAGCGGGAGATTAGAAAGCGCAACAGCAACACATCCTGTCACTCAAGACCTCCCTTTCTCCCACCACCTTCTCCTTCCACCTCACCACCCCACTCCACCGCATTGCACCGCCCCACATCAGGAGGAATCGTCTCGCAGCAAGGCAGTGCAGCGCCCCACACTGCTCCTGAGGTACATCCAGTCGCTCAAGACCCAGGGGGGGCTGGGGGGCGCAGGAGGCAGCTCTGGCGCGGGGGGCAGTATAGGCGGAGGCGGAGGTGGTATGGGGGGATTTGGGGGGAGCAGCTTCTCCAGCGGAGGCCTTGGCGGATTCAGCACGGGGATGGGCATGGGGGGAGGCATGGGCGGAGGCATGGGCGGAAGCATGGGCGGAGGCATGCGGGGGCCCATGGGCATGGACATGGGAATGAGCATGGGCATGGGCATGGGCGCAGGGGCAGGGGGAGGAGGGGGGATGGGGATCAGCCTGGGGGAGCTGATGCAGGGGCTCGTGAAGGGGGAACCCGCGTCCCCCTCCGCCTCTGCAGGCCTGGGTGGGTTAGCCTTCCGCGTGGGTCAAGGAGCGCCTTTTAGAACCGCCGTGCCCCGCTCTGTCTCCCAGCCAAACAGCCACGCAGCATCAGCAGGAGGGGGAGGGGGGGGGGGGGGGGAGGGGGGAGGGGGAGGAGGAGGCGGAGCAGCAGTCTTCCCTGGGGCATTCAGCTCAGCGCAAAGCGCAGCAGGAGCAGGCAGAGCAGCAGGGGCAGCAGGAGGAGCAGCAGCGGGAGCAGGGGCGGCAGCCGCTTTTCCCCGCAACCCCTCATGGCCTCCTGCAGGAAGCTCTGTCTCCGATGGGGGGAGCTCCGGCGGTGAGGGAGAGGGGCACGAGCAGAAAGCAGGGGTGCGGCAGTTGGGAGGAGGCGGCTTCACCACTGGTGCAGCAGCAGGGGGAATGGGGGGGATGAGGGCAGGGGGAATGGGGTCCGAGGGAATGGGCGCGGGGGAGATGGGGCCAGGGGGAATGGGGGCGGCTGGGTTCATGCGCTCATCCTCTCTTTCCAGGGCAGAGTCCCGGGCGCGCCAGCACAGCCGTGGATCGTTTCTCGGCGCGCGATCCGGGCTGTTGGATGCGGCCCGGGGCGGCGATCGACGGTCGGAGTTGGACCGGGCAGCAGCAGAGTTCCAGAAGGAGATTGCCAGGGCGTTGCTGGCGCCTGGTATGGGGCGGGCCTTATCCATGCCTCTAGGGTATGCCAACACGGCAAATGCCCAAGCCGCCGCTGCCGCCAATGCTGCTGCTGCTGCTGCCAATTCTGCTGCTAATGCTGGGACTGGTGGTGCTGCTGCTGGAGCCAGTGGTGGTGCTGGTGCTGCTCCTCCTGGTCTGTCTCTCTCCTTCCGCACTCCCGCCAACCCCGCCCAGTCCTCCTCCTCTGCAGGCTCCCCCTCCAGTCACCCCTTTTATTCCCGCTCGCGCTTTGCTAAAAGTTCGTCTGTGCCGGGGAGAGTTTCCGCCTCTGGGTCAGAGGATGGGGGCCGGGGGGGATGGGGTCGGAGGGGAGGGGACATGGGCGCAGCAGGGGGAGTAGGGGGAGCAGGGGGAGCGGGGAGAGCAGGGGGAGCAGGGGGGGCAGCAGGGGGAACAGCAGGGGGGGCGGGAGCAGGTGGGGGAGCAGCAGGATCTGAGGTGCTGGCGCTGCTGCAACTGGTTCTAGATCCATCTCTTGCTGCTACCGTTGCTGCTGCTGCTGGCCCCGTGGGGGGTGAAGGAAGAGGAGGAGGAGGTGCAGGAGGAGCAGGAGGGGGAGCAGGAGGGGGAAGAGGGGGAGGAGCGGGCGGAGGAGGAGAAGGAGGAGGGGGAGGGGTTACGTCTGCGTTGGATCAGGTTGCGAGTGTTCTGACTGCCGACCAGCTCGCCCTGCTGCTCAAGGTGAGTGAGGCGTATGAGATGGGCGACTGGGGCGCATAGGGTGGGTGAATGGGGCACATGGAGGAGGGGGAGGAGGGGGAGGGGGAAGTATGTCTGCGTTGGATCAGGTTGCGAGTGTGCTGACTGCCGACCAGCTCGCCCTGCTGCTCAAGGTGAGTGAGGCCGTGGGGGGGCCTGGTTGAGTGGGGTGCATGGGATGGCCGAATGAGGCACCGGGATGGAGGAATAGGGCACAGGGGTTTGGCGATTGGGCACAGGGGATGGGCGATTGGGCACAGGGGATGGGTGAATGGGCCACATTGTATGGACGAATGGGGCACATGGATGTGGGAATGGGACACAGGGACGGGTGAATGGGACACAGGGGATGAGGGAATGGGGAGCCGGAAAGGGGGGAATGGGGGCATGTGATGGCCCATCATACTGAGCACTGAGCAGTAGCTGAGGTGCTCAGGACTCAGCACTCAGCACTCAGCAGCAGCCTCCATGCAATTTGCACATTTAATCTCTGTTCTTCATCCTTCATGAAGCAAGTTGCAAGAATGAGAGCTGGATTTGGGATCCACTCAAAGTCACCCTGTGTGTGTGCGCGCATCTAGTTACAATTGTATCACCTTGAAAAAAAAACTCTAAGGGAGCGTAGAATCCCCAGAAGACGCAGATGCTGCTTTTTGAAGCCAACCGATCTCGACAATTTCCCTTTTCATACACTCCTGTGCCATGTGCCTGACTGCTTGGTGTGTGTTGCGCTGTTGTGGTCTGTTGCAGGTCCTTCAAGGAGACGTTCAAAGCCCTGGCAGCGCACAATCGATGCAGCAGCAAGTGCAGCAGCAACACCAACAGCAGCAACAGCAGCAGCAGCAAGTGCAGCAGCAGCACCAACAGCAGCAACACCAGCAGCAGCACCAGCAGCAGCACCAGCAGCAGCAGCAGCACCAGCAGCAGCAGCAGCAACAGCTACAGCAGATGCAGCAAGCGCTGGACCTACAGCTTCAAATTCTCAACATGCAGTCACAAGCCATGCAATCCCAGCCAATGGATGCATCTACTCATACTGCCGACCCCAACACTGCTGCTGGTGCTCCTTCTTTCAACACCAGCGCCTCTGCTGCTCCTGCTTCTGCTGCTGGTGCTCCTTCTCTCAACACCAACGCCACCGCTGCTACCACTGTTGCTAATAACGCGGATGCTTCTGCTGCAGCTGCCTTCGCCCTGGATGGCAAGCTACCAGACCTCTCAATCGATCCAGGGCCATTAGACTGGGCGGATGGGGACGGGATAGACGTGTTTGCACTGGAAGAGGGCGAGGAGCAGGCGCTCGTGCTGGCAGGCACTGCTGCTGCTGCTGGCGCTGCTGGGAATGCTGGAGCTGTAGGGGTTGGTGGGGCTGCTGCGGGTGGTGGGTTTGCTGGTTTGGCAGCAACGGTAGAGGCACAGGGGATGCAGCAGGCAGGAGGGTTTTCAGCTCCCACTTCAGCAGCACAAGGCACAGCAGAAGCACAAGGCACAGCAGGGCTTTTTACAGCACCAATGACTGCTACCACCGCTACTGTTTCTCCTACCGCTCCCACTGCTCCTCCTGCTTTTGCTGCCCCTTCTGCCCACCCCACTGGCACCGGCTTTTCTTTCCCTACTGTCAGCCCCAAAGCCAGCCCAACATCTGCCCCCACCCCCGCTGCCCCCACAGCCACCCCTGCAGCTGCTTTCGCAGCTTCCCCTGGCCTTTCCCTCCTTGCCCCATTCCCCTCCCCGTCCGCCCCTTGGGGATCTGGCTGGGACCACGCCCCCTCTCCCGGCAAATCCAAGCCGTTGATCGAGGAGCTCCGGTTCCGTCCACGGCTGGGATTCTCCGAGGAGATCGGCGCGGGGCGATTCAGAGAAGCACATCAGGACGAAGGGGGGGATGGAGATGAGGACCTGGAAAGCCCCAGCTCTCCGTCCTGGTTCCCGGACCTGCGCCGAACCTGCAGCGACAACCCCCGATCCGCATTCCCAGCCTCGGGAGCCTCGTCCCCGGACCACCACGGAACCCGAGGGGAGCGTCTCTTCATACCCCAGAAAAGCGGGCTGGGCGGGGGGGAAAGCGCCGCTGCGTCTCTCACCCTTCCCCCTCTCATGTCCAAGAAACGATCTATCTCCAGTGTCGGCCCTACCAGCCCCCGCTCCCAGTCTCGCTCCCTCCGGCCGTCCCTCCGTCGCAGTGTAGCAGGGCCGTTACCAGACGCACCGGTTACCATCATTGATGGTACCATTCAGCTCGTGGGAGGGCTGAGCCTTAACTCCAGTAAAGCAGACGGGAGAAGTGGGAGCAGGGGGGATGGGAAAGCGGATTCCCCGCCTCCTCCCTCGCCCCTGCCGCCTCCCCGGCCGCCCCGGCCACAGGCCTTCCTAGGGGGAGGCAGCGAGAAAGGGGGAGGAGGAGGGGAGCAGCAGCAGGTGGCAGCAGCAGGAGGGGGAGCAGGAGGGGCAGGAGGGGCAGGAGCAGGGCTGTGGGGTAGCTTCAGTAGCAAGCAGAGCCGGGTTTTCCTGCAGGCGAACCAGCTGAACCTGTCCCCACGTTCAGGGGGACCTGGGGGAGGTGGGACCCTCTCGTTTGGACAGGACGGTGGGTTTGAGGGGGAGGTAGATCTGGTGAAGGCTGGCGGCTGGGGGAATGCAGGAGGGGAAGGGGGAACAGTTGGAGCGATTGGGGCAGGAATGGGCGGAGAAGATGGGGCATTGGGCGTATCTGGGCAGGCTGTACCTGCGTGCCAGCCGTTCAGAATGAACCTGGCGAATTCAAGGTTCAACCGCAGCCGGAGCATGCCCATGGAGCGACCCCCTCCCAGGAGTGGTAGCAGTGCGGTGGGGACCGGTGGGCATGGCGTGGGCAGGAGTAGTGGCTTGGGAGGGGGCGGTGGTGCTGGTGGTGGGGCTGGTGGTGGTGGTGGTAGGTTTGGTGGCCATGCTGGGGGGATGGTGGCTAGCCGGTTTGCTTTCCAGGGCAATGCTGGCCCATCCGGCAGTGGTAGGAGTGTGGGTGGTGCTACTGCTGCTGCCCTGCGTGCTGGTACGGACACTTCTATGGGTGGGGTCACGGGAGGTGGCATTGCAGCAGCAGGAGGAGGAGTAGCAGGAGCAGCAGGGGCAGCAGCGGGCACAGCAGGCAGTGGGTCAGGGGCAGGGGAGCTGCTTGATTCCAATGTGGCAGATCTGGTGGCAGCATGGCTGTCAGAAGAGAGTCCTAATGGTGTGGACGGGGGTGGTGCAGCAGGAACACAAGAAGGGAGTGTGGGAGGGGCGCAGGGGATGGGAGGGGTGGTGGGTGGGGGTGCGATTGGGGGCGAGCTGGTGCAAGGGGGGGAGAATTCGCGGCCGAGTTTGGCGCAGCTGCAGCAAGCGATAGGGGAGCAGCTCAAGGTGAGCGACCGGAGTAGGCCCTGTCCATTTTTTTTTGTTTGCACCGGGATGTTCTATCCATCTCTTAATCTCATAATTTAACATGTCTCCCACTTCCATGTTTATTATCCCTAAATCATGGCAGGGATCTGGGCCAGAGTCTCTGTTCCCCTCACCTGGGATTTTCCCTGACTCATCTGGGCATCACTTTGGTCGAAGTGTTTCATGTTTCTCCACCATTGATGGGCCAAGTTCAGCTTCAAAGGGTTCTGATGCCGCAGCCATAGCTGCAGTTCTTGCTTCAGCAGGCCTGGATGGTTTAGATGGGTCGCCCGGCTTGCTCCAGCGGCTTGTGGATTTTACATCTGGTGGGCACAATAACCAGCAGTAGTTATAACTCAAATGATATATGGTTTTAGGTAAGGCATACATGGACTAGTATTGTTTCTTGATCCAAGCAAAAGGGATAAATCATTCAGTTGTCAGAAACTTATTGTACAAGGGTGCTCTTTTTCGTGTATTGATTCACCGATCGAGTCCACGGTATCTTTTCGTTTGCTGAATCCAGCGCTGCGCGAGAGTTGGAGGGACCAGGGTGCAGGAGCAGGTGGTGGACTCAGGGGGGTTCCAGCTCGTACATTTTCTGTTCGTAAACCCCCTCAGTTACCACATTTTTTGTGGTAACCCTTTATTGAACGTGTCCAGCGGACACAATCAGCTTCTGTTCGCAAGACGGCACGCCCCATGCACGTACCTAGAGTCGTCTGACTCACGTTACTGGAATCAGCAGGGACGCGAACAAGGGTACAGCACCGCGTCCTGACCACTACAGTTCGTTTCCCTTGTGTCGCTTGCACGATTTCGTCAGTGGTTCGCTCTACTCGCCAGCGCCCCCTGCGCCTGCACAAAAATTTTCAAGCTATGATTGACGAGGGAAACTGTTACCTCGTTTTCAACATGGTCAGAGCACTGCTGATTCGTGTGGCGGGGAATGTGTCCGCGCTTCTGAAATTACAGGATGGTTGGACTAACCCACAATGCATTCGTTTCTAGGTAAGGTAGTCATTTTTGAACCTCGATACGTGCGTTGGCACGAAAAATCCCGAAATGAACGAACTGGACAGCCCTCAGGTTGAAGGGAGCACAGCAGGGCAGCCAGCGGACACGGGTTGCGGTCACTCTTTCTTTTGCTTTCTCACTCGAAACTTTCGTTCCGTCTCATCAGTCCGAGAGGTGGTCACTAGACAGAAGGCGTGGTTACCTCACTCAAGGAGCCATGAGTGCCGCTGACATCCTAACTCGGGTTGATGTTATCAGACGGCGTTATGACCCGTACACGAAGGAGACTGTTACGAAAGAAGATGCGACGGACAGCTTCATGACTTTGTATGCAGCGGTTACAGTAGAGGTGGAGGAGGTGATCGAGGTAAGCGATAAATTCTGGTAGATTCAAGTTTTCTCTTTTGTTTAGATTGGACGCTTATCGCATATGCGCCGTCGCAGAAATCAAATGCAGCTGTTATTGAGAGGAATCTGGCCAAGGTTGCGGTGCTGAATGCCGAGATCAGGCGAGCTAAAGACATTTTGCAGAAGGAAATTCAACGGCTTGAGAAGCTCGCGTATCGGAAGGTATTCAACTACCTGGATTTGAATAAAAGCATTAGTGTGACATGTTTCTAAAGTGATTCGGACTTCAGGTTAAAGGAGTTTCGCCTGACGAGGATGCGAAGAGGCCAGACATGGTCAGAACGCTCATGGAAAAGGTTCAGGCGATTCCTGATGGCATTGCGAGAGGAGGTGGGAGGACCGTCGCATCTACACGGGGCGTTTCAGACGTCCAGATTGACGCTCTCGAAATGGGTAAGTCATTGACATGCGCTGGTTATTAAGATGTCTGGCTTAACAAGGGACGGTCCTTCAGGCGACTCTGGACCAACAGGGGATCACTTCATCTCAACGGCTGAATCCAGGGCGTTCAGAAGTGAATATACTCGCCGAGTCCAGAAGCAGGTATTTGTGGTCTTCTGTGTGTCAACACGATTAAAGCTCACGCCACTTTGTTTGCAAGATGCACCGATCTTGCCTCCGCTGTCAAACACATCATGATCTCTGTTTTCAGGATGTCGAGCTGGAGTACATCTCTAGTGGTCTTGAGAAACTGAGGCATCTTGCCCAAGACATGAATGAGGTACTTTGTTTTCCAGCGAGGCATTTTGTTGTTTAACAGCACATAATGTATTCGCTTGTTTTCAGGAAATGGATCGTCAAGATCCAATGTTGGAAGCAGTTGAGAACAAGGTAAGTTGCTGGCAATGCAATTCGTAAGTTGCTGACAATGCAATTCTTCTATTGGGGATGAACTGCCCAACTCAAATCATTTTTGCTTCTTAGGTCAACTCAACAACTCAAACGCTGCGGAACAATAATAAGAGGTTGAAGGAGATTCTGACCGAGGTGAGGGCAAAGACGTGGACACATTTTCCCACTTGGTTTTCTCTAACACTTACTGTGCTGGAATAGGTTCGGTCACCACGGAAGTTCTGCATTGACCTTATACTTATCCTTGTGCTTCTTGGAATTGGAGCATACCTCTATAGGTACTTCTACTGTGGCCGTACTCAGCATTGTCTTCTGTGGCTCTCAGTTCACGCACCATCTGTTGCATTTGGCAGTGCTCTGAAGTGACGCAGACAAATATGGGGTTGACCTGTACCATTCACAAGCGAAGTAGCGACAGTCTTTTTTATTATTATTATTATCATTTGTGCATAAGACATGCCATAAAGACTGCTATTTGGTCCAGTCACATAAGCCTCATCTCGATTAGTGCTAGGAAATCATAATCTGCATGCCTAATTGTTTAGTTAGAAAGGTTAGTTGGGCGGGGGCGAGGTGCCAACTTGTTCAAACTTAGGAAGGTCTTTAGTGAGGGAGCTCCAGCTGAGAACGAAGAGGTGAAACATACGACGACGTGCTATAGCGAGATTTTGTCCAGATATTTTTTTAATCGAGATATGGAATTGTCTGGGGATGTCCTCGAAGGGATCCAGACTTCAGAGACGTTCGGGAGTGGTTCGGGGCCGATAAGGTACGCGGAACCACGGCGTGAATAACAAGCCCTCGCTTTGTGGCATCATTCATTGACTGCTTTTGGTTCTGCCGGGGCCTTTTCCTAATCCCGAGAGTCGGCCGATGCCCATTCAGTGGACTCAAAGGAGGTCCGGTTTGGCCCCTACCCACACTGTCTTGGCTTTCTGTTCTATTACTACTGCCTCGGGCTGTAGTGAGTTCGGATCTCCAAAAGGCGGCGCGAGCAGAAGCGGCGCAATCACCACCACAAAACGTTTCTGTCAAGTTTCAACTCACCCAGCCATAGTACTGCGTCGGTTCGGGGGATACTCCGGGGCTAGAGTGCAGGTTCGAGATTCAGGCTCTATGGTTTTCGTCGGGGTACTGCACAGGCCTGTCGAAGTTCCTGGGACCCATACTTGCGCTCCCCAGCTCCTCCCCATCTGACCCTGTTTTTGGTGTAGCTGAGCGTTTGGGCGCCCTTAACGGTCACGGGCGCACCCCAAAGTGAAAACTTAAAATCCGGGCCTGTGAAGAGTTTGCACTTAGACGCTAAGGGAAAAATCGGGTACTCCGAAGCTGACTTAATCACTTAAGAAACACGGGATGGCTAGAAAACGCTAAGGGAAAAATCTACTCCTCTCGTGCAACCAAAGGAGAAAAGGGGGGGAGGGCACTTAAAGACGCTAAGGGAAAATTCGGGTGCTCCAAGCTGACTTAAACACTTAACTAACACAGGATGGCTAGAAAACGTCAAGGGAAAATCCACTCCTCTCGTGCAACCTAAGGAGAAAGGGGGGGGGGGGGGGACCGTCAGACGCTAAGGGGAAATTCGGGTGCTCCAAGCTGGCTTAGACACTTTACAAACACAGGATTGGCTAGAAAACGCTAAGGGAAAATCCACTCCTCTCGTGTTGGAGGAAAGGGGGGGGGGGACACTTAGACGCTAAGGGAAAATTCGGGTGCTCCAAGCTGACTTAGACACTTTACAAACACAGGTTTGGCTAGAAAACGCTAAGGGAAAAATCCACTCCTCTCGTGCAACCTAAGGAGAAAGGGGGGTGGGGTCTGGCAGAAAGGGGGGGGTGGGGCGGTCCTACAACCAGAAACCAAAACTTCGAGACAGGGGAAAGCCTGGTTTGGGCCCTTAACGCATCCGGGGAGGGGTCGAGCATGGCACTTAGTGGCACGGGTGCAGTGCGAATCTAGCACTTTTGGCAGTCTAGCTGGACGAAAGTAGCCCGGAATGTTCAGGGCATTAAGGGAATATGCTCTTGAATCGACAGGCCTGGTACTGCACTGTATTTGCCCACGTGGTTTTCAAGCCAATTCTGGAAATGAGCGCGGTTCGCCAAACAAAGGAAGGGTGTGTGCTATGCTGTAGCACTTGATTGGACGGATTTGTTCGTCTGCGCTCTATGATTCGTCCATCTCCAGTCGTGTAATTTAGTCCAGAGAACGAGCATCATGGACGGTACGTCAGCTCCGGCATTGGCTGGAAGGAGTGACAGCAGTGAAGCTCCACGAGCAATCAAAATGCGTCACCTTCCACTCCACCATGCACGATACAGTACATTCGTAACTTCGTTTTGTGTTACAGTATCTATCCTCACTTCACATCACACCTGTAATTCCTGCCGTCAACTCCAGGCCCTTTCCAGGTCCCCCCCTCACGTCGTCCTTGTCTAGTTTTGCTCTCGAAGCGCTTCACAATCGATCCCATCTGCATGCTTCAGAAACCTTTTTCGCTTACTACGGACGCCACCTTGCTACTGAATTAGCACTAGCAGGAATATGGCGCGCTTATTCCCTGCTTCCGACCCGGCGATCGAGCGGCATTTCGCGATGCTAGACGCCGCGGCGGGTTCCGTGTATAAAGATGAAGAAGAATCCTGGGAGTGCGCGGGACGCGAAGGCATCCGCTCCAGCCATGGCCACTATTTCCGAGACGTCGAGCCGAGAGCTACTGAGTCGACGCGAAAGCGGCTCCAGGAAGGGATTCGATCAAGCCATGGCGGCTCCTATTTCCGCGATATGGAATGGAAAGCCGCCACGATGACTGACCGAGCTTCAGGTGAGCGAACCTCCGCGTTTGATGATCGCCCGCAGGAGATTCGTACTAACAGCCCCTCGCATTGGTAGTAGTAACTGCTTGACATTTTACAGGAATCTCTATTCGCGCCGTTCTTGGAGAAGACACTATTCAATCCATTCGCGTACTTTTTGTTCCCTTGCTTGGATCTACGTAGAGTCGGCGCATGGCGGCGTGCGCCCCCGAAGCGAATCCGCGCGCAACCGCTGGCCCGTTGGCGGAAGCTTCGCACTCGGGAGTTCCGGCGCGACAAGCCGCGGCGGCGCCAGCAAGAGCCCCCTGCAGGCATACCGAGCCGCCGCTTATCAAGCCCCTGGGCCCTCAAGTGACATGGGCGGCGCGAGAACTTCAATTTCCTCTGTGACCTCACAATCATCGACTGCAGATGTTGCCGGCGTCGCGGAACCTTCTTCTGTCAGACGATCAAGCACCTGCACATCTCTGCCGGCTGTTTGTGGCAGTCAAGTGTCGGGTAGCCGTCAAGAATCGCCTAGAAGTCCGTTACTGTTCGTTGCCGGTCGCTCTCCCTCTGAAGCATCTTCTAGCAGCAGCGAATCCGCTCCCAACGAAATGTCCTCCGCTGGAAAAATAACTTCAGCTGGGGCGGATTTCAAGGGGAGAATAAAAACGAGAGATTGCTCTGTGGAGGTGGTAGGCGGAGCCAATCCCGCCGCCGTTGAGTTGTACTTCAAGCGGAAGGCGCTAGAGAGAGCGCGTGCTGCTGCTCCTGCTGCCCTCGGCGGCAAATAATGGTGCATATTTAGTTCAAATATAGTGTAGAATGGTACAGTATATGTTTCCAGTCCAGTGCCCTAAATTACGCTTGGGTTGTAATTACCTTGTACAAGTTGCAGTAATAAAGATGTGTAGTATGAGATCAAAGCCAGTGTGAAGAAAAATGCAGAAATACTACAACTATAGTGATTACATACTGCCTACTTTATTCATTTCCGTACAGTTCTCGCACCATCCCTTTGCGCCTTCATCCTCAAATATGCCTCCACAGCAGCAGGATTCGCTCCAGCCCTCACACGCATGGAGAGGGCAGCGTTCCTAACTGGCGAATTCTCTAATGCCATCTCCTGCGCGCTCCATCCCCCCTGCCTCCCCCCATCCCTCCCCGCACCAGACGCCTCTCCCCCCTTCTCTCCCGTTCGCTCACTATCCACTAAACCTGCTTCCGCGGAGGGGTGCGATTTGGAAATACCGAACCTGGTCCTCAAAACACCGGGGCTCCCGTTCGGACTTCCATTATTGTCACTCAGGTTTAGGCTGGTACCACTGGAACGACTGTTACCACCGTTGTTCCATCCAAGGCCCGAAGCGCTGCAGCTACTCCTGCCAGTAACACCACTCGACGAACCTTCCGCAGCAGAAGGCAAGCCCCCGAAGCTATGGCTCGTCGCCTGCGTGTCTAGGCGGTATTTCATGAGAAACGGGTCCACGGAACCGCGCACCGAAACTGGCGGAGAATCAATCATAGGCTGCGCGGGACGCTCGTTGAAACTTCCAGCGCATTGCAACCTAGCGGCGCTGGTAGCGGCGGGAACGGCGGAATCGGCGTTGGTGGTAGAGGCGGGGGGCAGGCATTCCCAAGGCACGACGAAAGGTGCAGCGAGCGAATTGCCTCCCGTCGTAGACGGCGCTTGTTTGTCGTTGGAAACGTGTAACGCGTCGAGCGCATCTTGAAGCTGACGTTGCTCATAGATTTCGGCGTCGGACGTCAAGTTGATTTGTTGAGAGTCGTCTTCTTCCAAAAGATCTGTGAGATCTATACCGTCGATCTGCAAATTGCTTGAATCCATCAGCGCGCACGACCGTTCAATGTCTGCGCACCGGAGGAAATACATGAGTTACGAGTGCAAAGACACGTAGAAGACGAATCGACCCGATTACGCGTTACGCATCACGTTATGCACATTGCAAATACAAGACTCCTCTTACAGCAGTCAGCTGTCATAAAATTCTGCTGCATTGGTAACGAGTATACTACACAACGCGGAATCACGGGTTTCTCGGGACAGCAGCCAGCTTACCATCCCATCCTTTCTTCGAAGACGCACTCGCGAACGCGTCCTTGTCCATGTCTCGAACACGCTCTAACGGCGCTCCAAGGTTGCTCGTGACTTGTATGCTGCAGGCTGCCACGCCACAGGTATTGCTCGCCATTCACCTTGAAACTCGGCCAGGATATCGACAGTAGCCAAGTTCTATTCTCATATGCTTCTATGCTCAGCTTAATACGGCCCGCCCCTGATTTAGAAGCGAGGTACAGTAGCTGGTGGAGTGGAAATGGCTGTATCTTGTGGCAGAGAGGACATAAACCAGAGCCGGGAATTTTTACCATAGAATCTTGATTAGCATGCTTGCTTGCACAGAATGGAGGACAGTGACAGGGCACCTGCGTGGGTGCAGAGAATCTATTCCTAGAATAAAGTGGATGCTGTGATCCGAGTCGAGATGGATAAAGTGCATGGGAGGCTCGGGGGCGGGGAGAGGTTGGTTTGGGAGAGAGAGGT